GTGTATCTATGTGGTGCGGCATTAGGGCTGAGGGCCCCAGACCTGTCCCAGTGTTTGGGATGGAGGCCTGTGTTCCCTTCCCATAGTCTCCTTCTAAGCAGGTGCCCCTATAGGCTAGACTGGCCCTGTCAGGTGGGGCATGGTAGGGGCACCTCTCTGACACTGGGCCCCACCCTCATATGACTTCCCAGGCCTGAACAAGACGTCTTCTTTCTCCTGTGAAGCCCATAATGCCAAGGGGGTCACCACATCCCGCACAGCCATCATCACAGGTAACAGAAAAGGGATCTGGGAAGTTGGGTGTCAGATGGTGTGGGACTGGGGTCAAAGGTCAGAGCTGGGGTAGAAGGCAGGGTGAGGAGCTTTGGGCAAAGGCCCCCCAGGTCAGTCCTTCCTCTCATCTCCACAGTGCTTCCCCAGCGGCCCCATGACCTCCACTTGGTTTCCAGTCTGCCCACAAAGCTGGAGGTGGTTTGGACACCAGGCCTGAGCGGCATCTATCCCCTCACCCACTGCACCCTGCAGGTGAGACTCAGACTTTACTAACCTCAGGCTCCCCTCCAACCACACCCACAAGCCCTCAGCATCTCCCTGGATAATCAGCCCTCCCCATCTTTTGTGTGTTGAGAGGCAGTAGAGCCTCGGGTTAAGGCAGCTGTCTTGAGTTCAAATCCTGGCTCCACCAGCTGATGGCTGCATTAGCTCAGGTAGGTGACTGTGTCTCAGTTCTCTCATCTATAAAATGGGCATAATGGTAGTACTACTGGAAAGGCTTGTTGTGGGAATTCAATAAGTAAATGCAAATGGAAATGTGTAATAAACTATTAGCTGTTTTCAGTGGGTTGGTTTTTTGTATCAGTGATATTGACTGTAGTCAGAATGGGAACCCTGAGGCAGCCATCTTGGTCACCACTGGCTACCCCCAACCCTGCTTCTCACACCTCAGCCCTGACCACTCTGGGTTGTCACTGTCTGGGGGTGAGTCTGTCTCCCCACTGGACTGAGCTCTGGGAGGGCACAGCCAGGATGTCTCAGTCACCACTCAGTCCTCATAATTGCCTGGCTCAGGGCCAGTCAGAAGAAGACTACCTGACAGCTGAGAAGGGCCAGACCAGCCTTCTGCACCAAAGTTGCTCCTCCTCTAGTGTAAGAAAAACAAACACACAGACATGTGAATACAAGATCCAGCTCTGGCCTGAAGATCTCTGTGATTCGGAAGTTGGTAGGGCATTGCCCATGATAGGAGATGATAATTAATAATGGCCAACTTTCATTGAGTGCCAACTATGTGTTGGGCCTTGTGTTACCCTTGTGTGTTTGTGAAATGTGGTCTGTGTTTACAACCTTTTTTCACATGAAGAAACTAAAGCTCAGAGTAGTTAAGAAACTTGCCCAAGGTGACAGCCAGGAAGTGGAGAG